GGGTAAAAAAGCGATTTTTAAGGGAAAAAAAAGCGATTTTTAAAGGGAAAAAAAGCGATTTTTAAAGGGAAAAAAAGCGATTTTTAAAGGGAAAAAAAGCAATTTTTAAAGGAAAAAAAAGCGATTTTTAAGGAAAAAAAAGCGATTTTTTAAGAGTAAAAAAAGCGATTTTTAAAGGGAAAAAAGCGAATTTTTTGGGAAAAAATGCGATTTTTAAAGGGAATAAAAGCGATTTTTAAAGGGAAAAAAAGCGATTTTTAAAGGGTAAAAAAAGTGACTTTTAAAGGGAAAAAAAAGCAATATTTAAGGGTAAAAAAAGCGATTTTTAAAGGGAAAAAAGCGAATTTTTTGGGAAAAAATGCGATTTTTAAGGGTAAAAAAAGCGATTTTTAAAGGGTAAAAAAAGTGATTTTTAAGGGAAAAAAAAGCGATTTTTAAAGGGAAAAAAAGCGATTTTTAACGATAAAAAGACAAACTTTAAGGGGGAAAAAAAGCAATTTTTAAAGGTGAAAAATGTGATTTTTGAAGGATTTATTTTTATTTTTAAGTTTTTTTCTTTTGGTTGGTTTTTAAAGGTTTTTTTTTTAGTGATTTATTTGGGGGTTTTTTTATTAATATTATTATTATTATTAATTTATTAATATTTGGGATTTTTTGGAGATTTTTGGAGATTTTTTTGGAGGTGTTTGGGTGGTTTCTTGTTGATTTTTAAAGCCTTTTTTTTGATGGTTATTTTATAAATATTTGAGAAGTTTTTAGGGTTTTAGTGGGAATTTTTGGGAATTTTTTTGTGCTTTTTGATGGGATTTTTTTGGGGTTTTTTTGTGCTTTTTTGGTGATTTTTGGGGGGATTTTTTGAGGATATTCCCGATTTTTTATGTGACTTTTGGCAATTCTTTTGGGGTGAATTTTGGGGGATTTTTTTTGATTTTTGCAGCACTTTTGGGTGATTTTTTTGGGTGTTTTTTATCATTTTGAAGCCATTTTTGGACGATATTTTGTGATTAATTTTGAGATTTTAAAGTGATTTTTTGGGGTGAATTATTGTGATTTTTTTCATGATTTTTTGCAGGATTTCAAGGATTTTTTCTTATTTTTTTATCGATATTTTTGACCATTTTTAGCCAACTCCTCTGATTTTTTGCGATTTTTTTTCAGGGTTTCAAAGTGAAAATTGTGAAGATTTTTTTTATTGACTTTTTAATCCATTTTTGACGATTTCTCCATCATTTTTCACCATTTTCTGTGACTTTTTTTAGGATTTTTAAATAATTTTTTATTACCTTTTCACTCATTTTTTCACCCATTTTTTGTGCCGATTTTTACTGATTTTTTCCACGATTTAAAAATTATTTTTAATACACTTCAAAATTACCTTTAATTCACATTTTTCACCCATTTTTTTACAACATTTCCATCACTTTTTGTGATTTTTCCCCCCCAATCTTTAAATTATTTTCTATGCTTTTTTCAATATTTATTTTATTACATATTTATTCATTTTCCCACCCATTTTTAAACATTTTTTTATTTATTTTGGACCTTTTTAACCACATTTAGAATTTTTTAACCCCCCCAAACCATTCCCAACACCGAAGGGGGAAGCCAGCGAAGCAGAAAGGACCAAAAAAAGCCATTTTTGGGGCCGTTTTTGGGGCGATTTTGGGGGTTTTAAACCCCAAAAAAATCAATTTTAGGGTCTAACCAACCTTGTGGGCGCAAGCTGGGGGGGCTGCGGAGGTCTCGGGGACCCCCGAATTTGGGGGTGTCGCCCCCCCCTCTTTTTCCGTGCTTTCCTGCAGCTTCCGATTCACCTAAAAATGTGAAAAAAATCCCCCAAAAATTCAATTTTTAGCTGTTTCACCCTCAAAAAAAAAACCCAAACCCCCTCCAAAAAATAAAATCAACTTACGGTGTCCAACCAACCCAAAATTTTGGGTTCCCAATTTTGGGGTCCTGGGGGGGCTCCTGGGGGAGCCCCCAAATTCCGAGTGGCCTCGGCGACGAAGGCGGCCATGAGGGAATCGATCAAGGCCAGGTGAGCGCCCTGAAGGGGGAAAATTTGGGGGAAAATTGGGGGTTTTGGGGGTCCTGGAAAAAAAAATTGGGGATTTTGGGGGGTGCTGGGGGGAAAAATTTGGGATTTTAGGGGGTCCTGGGGGGAAAATTTGGGGTTTTGGGGGTGCTGGGAGGAAAATTTGGGGATTTTGGGAGTCCTGGGGGAAAAA